TGCTCTACACTTATGGTCGTGTAGGTTATTACCGATGAATCCGTTCTGCGTTTAATGATATAATAGTTCCACAATATAAATTTATTGATGTGTTCCGCAGCGGTAGGCTATGAAACAACTGTAGCATGGCGAGAAAAGGGGTAGAAAGAAGCAACAGATATCTCAATAAATATTTTGCCAACATTTTATTAGCTTGCGATCTAAGATAAAATTCTCAAACACTGTCAACGCGTGTTTTAGTGGAATTTCATAGTAAGCTTCACGGGTTGTTTGATTTGACACCTGCGAAGTAGCTGCTTGACGGAGACCTCGAGCTACACGTAACTCCAGGTCTTCGATAAGCAGCCCTTTCTGAGGCAAAGAAGTAAACTTGAGGTGGCTTTTGCTGAAGTAGCTCTCAGAGCTCTCAATTCAACAGGATCTAAATTAAGAAACGTATGATGAGTGGTATACTGCAAATTGTAAAAAAAGACCTGGAACCACACTCGTAAGCCTTCCTCCCTCAAGTTTTTCCGAGTAAAGCGTGAGTCTTGTTTTCCAAACAATAAACAAGCATGACATGACCTGTAAATGGCAGAAGAAGAGATGGGGAATGACCAAATTACTTTTTTATGAATAAAAGATTTATTGTCCTTTTGACCCACTTCATGTTGACTTTGAAGTAGTCAAAGCCAATCTGATCTTAGTGCAATAAATCTACGACTACGCTTTTACTACACGAAGAACCTTCTACTGTTTTCAATTTAAGTACCAAGCAACTACAAGTTGCGATCCGCATTAAAATTGAATGAACATCGATACAATTGGAGAACTGTTGCCTTAATACTGGAAAAAGTACTCCTGTCACCTAAAATATACCTTCAGAACGATTCAAGCGAATATAGTTAAGGGAAACCAACTTCGGCGACTTGTAAATTCTTTCGTTCCTTACACCATCAAATTCATTTAAAAGAATATGTTTTTCCTGCAAATACACTGCTATAGGGGTACTCAGTTTGTTCTTCTTTCACAGGTAGCAAAAGTGATGCAAAACTTTTAGTTTAAAACGATCTTCAAAATACTCCGGATTCTGAATTATTTAAAAAGTATTCTGTGCAGGATTTCTTTCGTAGCCAGATTCTGTCGATGAGCACACAAATCATTACCTGAATTGAATTATTCCATATTGTTTTGAGATAAATAAGAGCAGAAAGCAGCCCAACAATCTCAAAACATTTGAAATGGACTTGGGCGGCTTTTAGCAGATAAACCCCATTTATCTAGAACACACTGAACTTACCTATGTGAACAAGTCAATAGCTGACTAACTGACTTTTGTTTGCTTTTATTACTTCCAGAGCATTTGTCAAAAGTTCCTGTCCTTAACAGATTCCAGAAGTTACACTGGCAAACCAAATCTTTTGCTCTTTACACGACTTAGTCGTCATACACTAGTTGACTTGATTCACGTTTCAAACATCGGAATTTTTTGATTTTTAAAAAAAACCTCAAAGGAAAGGTGTTATTGCCAGCCTCAACTTGCTTCTTCATTCTTTTGTGGTTTAAAAATAAAAGTCCATACAGTAATTTCCGGTTATTAGAACCATTACGTAAGTCAGGCAGATTAATTTACTACCACCCTAGAACCCTTTAAGCTTATTCAGATCCTTGTATTAGTCATGTATCCTAGTTCTCACTGAGTCGATATTACAAAGCAGTTCATATATATTGGCCACATTTTTTATTATCCTTGTTATCCTAGTGTCCAACAAACGTGATACTCTTCTTTCATTCATCCGCTACACAACTTGCCTTTACCTTCCAACCTGATTGTAGTTAAACGGGCCTCTTTATAAGCAGGCTCAATAAAACCGACTTTTTACGTCCTGTTTCTTCTGGGCAAACTGGATTACCCGGTACCACTGACTTGTACACGACACTAACTCCAGCATCCAAACTTCTCTCGTAGCGTCTTCCATGAACTCGTCGCTTCTTTCCTATTTCTTAAAAGGACCCGTCCTTTACAGCCGATGAAAAATGGGCTTCTAGTCTGAAAGAAAGAGCAAACAGCTTAATGAAGAAGCATCAGGATTTAGCCATTAAAAGCTGGAGTTATTCGACGAAGACCTGCGTCCCCGTACTGGTAGGACCTTCAGCAACAAGCTAGAATTGGAATACGCACTATCACTAAGAATTAACAGTGGCGCTCTGCCAAAATCTGACGCTCTGAACTCTATCTGAGCGCATTTTGCCGCCTTGTGGAACGTAATTATGCGATGCTTACTCATCCTTAGTCATTGGCGTTCCTTTATGTAGAGTTCGCATAACAAATTGTCGACATTTGTCTAGTCGCCGTTAGTTGGTCTGCTGGCGACGCCCGGGGGTGTTGCGCAGCTCTTGGGTTCATTTTGTTGCATTTCCTGGTTGTTTGATTCTCTTTAGGCATCGATATTTTTCCTTAACAGAATTATTGCTCTAGCAGCCGAGAATTCGTGAGTTTTCTTTGGCTTTTACATTGTGTAAGTTGCTGAATAAGCTCTGCAGATTTTTAATGAATACAAAAGTTTGTTGCAGTGCATCTTTAGTTTGTTAAGCTCTATTAATTGGTTTTGTTGTTTTGAAAGTGGAGAAAAAAAGTTTGAGTTTTATTTTAATTTTGATTCATCCATATATTTCTCTAGAGCAGGAAGAATAAGGGGTTACGTTTTCACATACTTTTGAAATTTTTGTAACAAATATGTGTTATGAAATTCTTTTCAATCTTTATTTCTGACACTTTTCTTTTTTGAAACACGATCGAGACGTTTCTGGCTTCTCTTCCCTTCCCACATGAAGGATATGTCTTATCTACACTGTTTAATCGAGGCAAATTCCAGATACATTGGCTACCCCTGAACTTTACTGATAAAAAATAGAGATAAGCTGTTGACAAGAGATATGAAGCTATACAGCGGGGGTTTTAGAGCAGAACGACCTTATATGAGTTTTGAAATCTTTTTAGCACTCAGTTACGCACAGAACATTGATCTGCTTAAATTTTTTTCTGAAAAAGTTGTTAAAGATCTGATTCTGATTATAGCTTCGGAAGTTTTACACACGAAGAGGGAAAACAATGTAATATTTTTTTCTTCCAAAAGTTTCTTTCCTTTTAATATTTCTTATGTCCGGCATTTGCAGTCTTTGTACGTTTTGTGCAGAAACTGTTGGAAGTATTATTGAAAAAGTCGAAGTTCTCATATTTTCATAGTTTTTTCTTCGTATGTATCGAAAACATGTTTAGGCTCTACGCGCTCGGTTTTCAGATGCGTTGCGTGTGCATCCATACTCTGGACAATTACCCACAGGTATTTTGGTCTTAGCAAAATGTGGTCAAGAAGCGGTGAAACTGTTATTTTAATTTGGAGCACGACTGGTACCTGTCACATCACATCAGGAGTCTGATGTTTTGAACCTGTGTGAGAATTGCCTAAATTAGTACTGCGTCTCGGGCCGTATACATCGTGACAACATTTTAAATTTTTTAAAATTTTGGATTGGCTATGAAATCATTCATGAAATACGAATACTTTTTGGTGTTATTCCAGTCAAGCGGCTACATGTGTGTCGTGGAGGTCAAGAAGTTTGAAAGTTATTTTTTCCGTCTTTTTATTCGCATGTGGATGATACTTTTTTCTGGTAAGAGATGACTTTCTATCAGACTGTGACCGTAATTTTGAAAAATGAGGAACTTTGATCTTTTCTGTCTTCCTGCGAACAAGTACCTCATGTGGATGGGTCAAACTTTTATGTAACTGGGAATTTGTGTTTTCTATTTTTTAAACATTTGTAATTGTTTTATTTTTAGGACAATGGGAGTGGAACAAAAACGGGATATTTAATAGTACCTCCGATAGTTCTGCAAATTTTCTTTGCAGAACTATCGGAGGTACTATTAAATATCCCATTCTCTTTTATGGAAAACTTGTAGCTTTTAACAGTAACAGGTGATCATTCAAGAGAGCGAGTGCACATCGTATTTCCCTTTCTGATTCTTTTTGTACTCTCTAAAATAGTTTAGTCATTTATTTTAGATTCAAGGTTATTTTATCCTTGACTTTTCATTATTTTTGCAACTTTTAGGATCTATTTCTCTTTTTTTCTTTTTTTTTGAATAGACGCGTTATTGTCCTTCCACAGTGGTTCCATGAAATTTGTTTTATCAAAGCTTTGTGCCCGTCATATGAGCTTTTTTAAACTTTTTTTGCAGTCACTTTTTAGCAAGTCTTAAGACAAAAAATTTCTATTAATTAGACAAGGTTTGGAGTCTAAGATGTATGTGATTTACCAGCTGGAAGGGCTAAAGTGGCTAACTTTGTGTACTGCAAATTCCAAATTGTACTGCAAAACCAGTTTTCAGAAATAAAATAATTTTTAAACGGAAGAAATTTATCGGTTGAAGTTTTAGCAGTCTGCGGTTTCACTTAAAATAATCTTTACGTATTTTACCTAATCTATATTTTACTTGAAAAATTTTTTTATTCCTGGCACAATCTCCAGTGTACAAATCCTGATGGTAAGAATTGTGTGTAATTTACGTCCAGTGTGACGGTGCTTTTTTGGTTGGGTAGCTGGTTTTTTTTTTTCAGTCGGTCAAGCTCATACAATTTTGAAGATAATGGTTGTGACTGTGTTTCATCACAACCAGTAAAGGGAATGGGGCCACTAAACTGAAGCGGAGCGTAGGAGGCTTAGTTCACTCTTTGGGAAAACTTGTAATGGTAAGTAAATTTTTTTTTCAATTTTTTTCATTTTTTTTAGTTTAATAAGTCTTTCCGTTATTTTTTTGCTTGCTTTTTTAAGTTTTTCGGCAATGCAGAACATTGTTTGTTCAACCTCGTAGCCCCAGTAGCGTACTTTCCGGTTGCGACAAGTAATACTGGCTTTTTAAAGAGCGCAAATGCCTTCATGAAAATGCTAAGATTTCTGTTACAGAAGTTATTGTTGCCATAACTTTACGATTTATAATGTAATGATATTTTAGATGGTTATGCTCAGACCAGTGAATTTACGCATTTGGTTATGTTTTGTTTTGAGTTCATTGGTTATGTTTTGAGTTCTTGTAAGCATAATGAAGTCACTGCTGAGAACATTCAGTTTCGTTCTTTTAATATTTTAATCAAGGTTGGTGGTTAACTTTCAAGGGGGTTCGATGTTGAGGATGAGCGCATTGTTATCCGATTATCTAGTTCTTTATTTTTCCAAGTGCTTACTTTTTTTATTTAATTTACTTTTGGTAAGTAATTGGTCTTTGCCATATATGCTGCTCGAGATTGTTGTATATCAGGGTTATTTTTTGCCGATGCAGTCCTCTTTGTTTTTTTTTAGTCTTGGTTGATTTATGCTTGTGATGCCTTACTCTGGTTGCAGGATAGACATTGGCTCAACCCTTAGCTTCTGTTTCGGCCTACGATGCTTGTACTACTTTAGAACACAGCGAAATGGATTCATTTTAAAATCCAAATCACTGCTCTCAGTTCACATACTTCGTCTCTTTTTTTTAATAAGCCATGATAATTTTAACTTTAAACGCTTATGTTTTTATTATTGTGTTTACAGTCTTTGATTTTTTGCTTTTGTAATGCATTGATTCTTTTTTTATGTGTAATCTAATCAATAACTGACAATCATAGTTAGAGATTTGGGTATTACAGCCAATTTCGGCAGTTGTCTTGCTTTTTTTTTCGCATTTTTGAAAAAATTTCTGATGTTAGAGCATGAAACAATTGTTGGATCTTCGTAATCACCTGAACACTTGACTGCTGCGTTTCGATTTTTCGCCTTCTTTTGTAAGATAGTTAAATAAGTATCGCTTTCTTTTTTAATAGACAGGCAGCGATGGAAAAAACGGGACCACCAGAAGCATCGGCTCCACCTTATCTGGAAGCTGGAACTTCGTCTATTCCTGGGGTAGCTATTGGTGAACAACCTCCTTCATATGAAGCAGCGGCAGCAGCATCAAATTGTAGGTTTTCTTGCAGGGTTTTGTAACTCCATTATGTTTCAGTAAATCATTTGAAGAGTGCATCTTTGGTGATCGGATTGAGTCTGTAGAAGTATTGTTGTTATGTATAGCGTTGTCTTTTTTAGCACTTCCTCCAACGTACCAGTCCTTGTACGGTGAGTTCCGAAAAGTTGACAACCCTCGAAGTTTAGCACAGTTCCTGGGAAAAGCTTTTACTGCGCTCATTAATACAGGTCGTAATTTAGATTTTAGTATTTGGCTATTAATGCTTTTTTTTTCTTTTTTTTTTTTTTTTTTT